AGTAACTTGTTCCAAATGACAAAGTACTGTTTTGGCTGGAATTGTCACAGCCTTGGTTGACGGGTTAGCGACCTCAACCTTGACCCGTGTTGTTGAGTGGGTAGACTGAAACCCAACAACACCAGTAACGAGGGTAAGTGAACCAGGAAGAACGGACTGTGTGGCACAAAACTCCATACCAATCTGTGGAGCACTACCCCTGCAAATACCTGTTATAATCTGGTTGCAAGACGGGGGTATGGTTATAGATTTAGTTGTCCGCACATTCTCAGTTCGGTTCAGGTCATTCCAACGCCTACTGAGCCACTGAATAGCCATGGTCCAAGGAGAAGAACTCCTAGATACCCTGTCACCAGGGTTGCTTTCACAAGCAGCACGCAGGACATTGGTCCCCAGGATAAGAGGTACCTGAGAGGTGAAGTCGGTAGTGGGCACCACAAGAATGAGTGCGGGTACCTCCATCACTTGACCCATGAAGTCAGGAGGTATAGCAATCCTAGCCTCAACATACCCCAAATAGGGTAGCTTGGCTCCCCCAGCTCCATGCACCTCTAGTAATGAGCTGATTTGGTGGAGTGGCAAGTGAGGGAGGTAAGCTCTGTAGAAGTTTTCAAAGATAGTGGTGACCATTGAACCAGTATCTATCAAAACATCACAGGCATGCTCCTCTACCTTCACATGCGCAATGTTTGGGTGCCCAACTAAATTGGAAGGCACCTTTCGTTGAGCGCTTTGGTTAGAGTCCTCAGACCGCTCCATAACTGGGACTCTTAGAAGTTTAAAGCAGGGCAATGCTGGTGACCCCTTTTGAGCCCTGGCCTTCCACAATCAAAACAGAAAACTGATGATTGTTGTGGAGGGGGTTTATCACCGACCTGCTTTACTAAAGGTTTATTTGTCTGGGCACCTCTGTAGGGAGCTTGGCCTTGACTCCTGGTGGGTGGTTTGTAAGAGGAGGCTTGAGCAGACCTGAGCTCAAGAGAGTGAACTTTGTCCCCGATAGACTTTAGACTCTTATCAAGGTCTTTAAGCCTAGAGAGCACATCCTCCATCTCCCGACCACATGGTACAGTAGTGGTAACGGGACACTGATGTGCCTCCTTAGGGGTAAGCAGTTCCTCCTCCACCCGACGTACAGCAAGCAGCAGTTGGCTGTACTCGAGACCAGAGTCAAAGTGATGACGAGTTGCCTGCTTCAAAGCATCCTGGGACAACCCCATCCAGAAACGGCTTCGAAGCAAGGTCATGGCAGCATTTGGTGGGAGCATTCCTGAGACTTCGATCTTTGAGATCAAGTCACGAAGTCTACAACTCCAAGCTGCAGCAGACTCGTTTATTTCCTGGCGAGCTGTGTAAAAGCGCTCCATGAGCGTCTCGCCAGGCATCACATTGCCAAAGACAATGTCCAACTGCTCTAAGGCAGAATCAAGGGTTGCCTCAGCAGGGAAACCACTGAGAAGATCTGCAGCAGAACCCTTGGCTGCTCTCCGCATGGCATTGAATATGGTGGTGTCAGAGTGAGCATTTTAACGTCGACACCCCAATATTTCAAGGCGCCACTGACTATATTTCACATCACCCTTTGCCCTATCCCCTGAAAATGTTGACAACCGGGGACTTGGTGCATTGATTATTGGCATGTACGAGGTGTGTGATATTGGCATAGTGGAATGCGGAGTTGCCAGGAACTGACTAGGCTGAGCAGTTGGAGTGTACCCAGGGTATAGAATGGGCATGGGTACATGTCTGTTGGACCAAGCCTCATTTGGTGCCCCAGTCGGACGTGTAATGACACGCGACTGCTGTGAGTAAGGGGTTGATGAACCCTGGGATTGATTATAGCTAAAGAGTGACCCGTAGGGCCTAGGCAAAGATTTCGGCAATTCTATCCTAGGGCTATGGTCTTGTGGGGGTATTGTCCGCTGGGAAGGCTCCATGGGTGACCATATATCAGACAACAAAGGAGATCCCAGAGGTGAATGTGTTAGCAGTGACGGTAGCCCAGGTGTATATGGTTGGGGAACAACCCTTTGGCTATCCACAGGAGGTGGAGGCACATGTGCACATCTCCAGACCCAACATCAGCTACATAAGTGGTCTGAGGTGGATGTGGATTAGCGTCATCTGCTAGACGGTAGAGTAAACTAGTACGGACTAAGGGATCAAGCTGATGGATGAAATCCGCAACCTGATCAACCTGTGATCTAACATCACTGTCCGACTGAGCCATGATGTGTATGATAATACAAGTATGACAAACTTCCAAAAAGGCAACAAGGATCCTATACGTTGGGACCCAACAACAATATTATGAACCGAGGCGATCGCAAAGTGCAAAAACTCCTAAGTATTAGGAAACCAAGTGCAGGGCTCCTACAAAAGCAAGGATACAAGATGGACTATGGTGTGATATGGGTAGACTTACAACTGCGGGGAACTAACCACTACCCCAGGTAAGCAACAAAGTTCAGTAACAATGCAAGTAGCCAAACAACAATCAGGATGTAGTCACCTGAAGGACAACTTATGCATGTACTGAGGTCAGGTAAAATGAAACACTAGCCAGATGATCCCAATGGAAATGAAATAATCAAGCAAGCAAAGGCTACGGTGTGAGACTAACCTGGCAACAACTACAAAGTCATCCCAGATACAAGAAGTAACTGCAAGTACTACAGACCAGACAACCACCGGAAATAAGTCAAGATGCAGCAATAACTGAGTTGTACATACAGAAAGTAAATGTAACAGTAGATACTGACTGAACTCCACTGTCACATATGTAACTTACATATGAGGGGAAACTATACAAATATCTCACATCACAGATATACTGTTCCTTGAGATAATAGATATGCAATTGAGGGAAATACTGAGGACCTAATCACTGATGGTGTTCAAATATTTCAAACAGAAGATCTGATATGACTGATGATAGTGATGAAGCCTATAATGGGATATGGTATATGATGAAATGAAGAAACAACACAAGACAAGACAAAATACTTATGGTAAACATGTTAGTGGTTTGCTGAAGAGAGATATGTCCACACGGAAGGAAAGACATCAGAAACAGCATGGAAAAAGAAGTACTGAGGATAGAGTCTGACACAGGTAAAGTAAGAAGGGTATCAATGCAAATATCAAAAGTATTGACAGAAAATATATCAAGTAAAAAAAAAACAACTTTGGATTTTGAAATTGAACTGTTTAAGTTAAATGTTAAATAATTTCAAATATAAATTTGGAATCAAAGTCAAATAATTACCAACTACACTTAATATTAACCTGAAATTTTGATCAGTGGTGAAATTTTGAATAGATATGAACTCCAATTAATTTTTCAGAATAAACTTGTCAGCGAGATGAAAATGAATCTATACTATATATATATATAATTTAAATAAACACTGTAGACATAGAAATGTGGTTGAAATAGAATTTGTACTATAATATAATCAATACTCTGTAAAAGTCAATAGGATTATAAATTTCAAACAAATATAAACATGATAAACATATAATATATATCACAGGATAAATAGAAATATACACGGTGGATCACAAATGTCTCGATAGTCAGGCTCAAAAGTCAATGTCCTGAATTTGTGAAACACAAAAAATCAAAAGTCACAAGGTCCATACACTTCATGAAACAATGAGGAATGAACTATTCATTCACATAAGTGTATAAGATGTCCTTGGAAACTGCATGAACTCTTCTATGTTGAATTCCATCTAATGAATGATGAACTGCCTCTTCTCACTGTACAAGTGATGGTGCTGATGAAACTAGCAGCCCCACGTTGGGCGCCATTTTGTAGCCGGGCGTGGTGTCATGTGTCCAGCCACTGGGCTGCTAGTCAAAACATGAGGCAGTTCTTGAAGATGATGATGATTTTATTCTTTTGGAGTAGATGGTGGGAGGGAAGCTGTAAACAAGAGTCCTCCCTCCATAAAGAGTTCATGCAGAATATGTTATAATTTAATTTAAGCCAAAAGGAAACAGATTAATTTATAGGGATATGTTGGGGAGCACATGGTTGAAGACCATGTGCTCAATTAATGTAACACAAAATGTGTGAGCTGGCAAACATTTAGATATAACAAATTAAATAATAATGCAATTAAATATATTTTACTTTAATGATAAGCTGTGATACCCTTTCTATGAATATAATTGTTTCTAAAGCAGGATGGAAAGAGATAAGAATATTGAAATGTTTCTCACCTGTAAACAAGAGTCCTCCCTCCATAAAGAGTTCATGCAGAATGCATGAGGAGGGCAGGTGAGAAAGGAAGTTTAAAGAAGTGGACCAAAGGGCCAATCAGAAGAAAGGTAGCATCTGACAGATATTAAAGGAAGTCAAGATGCTTCAGTCACATAAAGTGGTGGACATATCTAAAAATAGATAGGGGGAAGTCCAGGTGAAGCTGGAGAAATTACAGAGGCTGCAAAAGGGTATCAGGTTGGTGTTAGTTGGCTGACATTCAACTGCAGACAAGGACAACATATAATGAACACAGAATGAAGTGATGGTGATAATAGATGAACATGTATATATATATATGTATAGAACGAATCTAAGGGGGTTATAAGTGGGTGGTACTTATGTGGCTATAACTCATTCAGAGTTAGCACCACCACCCGGCTACAGTTACATACTATTGTTTTAGTTTGAGAACTGAATAGAGCTTGTGAAGTCACACTCTGAAATTATTTGAATGATTTAAAAACAGAACCTTTGACATACTCTCCCTTTCAAATGGAAGTGTTCATTTTAGGGTAGCTAGAGATATAGGACTAGGTTGTACTGCTTTAGACAGCATTTGGGATAAAATATGAATAGATAGATATTGATGAGGTCAGCTGTCACTTGATTTGGTAAAGCCAAGATAGTTCATGGTACAGTTTCTTATGAGAAGGTTTTGGTGCAATAAGTATTTGACAATATGTTTCACAGGAAGATTTTCTTCATTGCAATATGTTTATATTTCAGTGTTCACTGCCATGTGTTTTTCTTCACAATGACGTGTCATCCTGCCTTAACATTTGTGTAAGTACCAAATTGTTTGTCAGGAAATACAAAGCCTCTCAAAAGTTTTTATCAAGTTTGCATATGAGGGGATTTTACCCTTAGTTGAGATGCATGATATGCCAAGATTCAAACGACAACATTTTTTGTGCAAGCTACCAATTGCAAGGTGCTGGTGAGCCTATGATTGCATGACACAGTGTGTAATCTGTCCGTTTACTTTTGACATCTTCTTTGAGCCAGCAGCAAGGATGAGCCTGAGACACTTAGAAGTGTTCAGTGTATTTCTGGCTTTATGTCTTTAATCTCTTTCATCAATTGTGTTCAAAATTGCATTCAGTAGTGTTACAATGATTTTGCCTGAACTTGTGAAGTGATCGCGCCAACTCACCGCTGTTTACAGAAACCACAATCAATTTAACGCTTTAAATGCCTTAACATGAACCTTAGTGGTCAGAAAATGGACACATAATTCACAAATAGCTTTCACTAAAATCAAATTGTGCCATTTGTTTATTGTTGTTCTTCTCAGACACAACAAGAGCTAGCAAGGATTCTAAAATGACGTAACTGGAATCAGAGTTGTTCATGCCAGTGTAAATAAAAACATTAAAAATCTTCTATTTGTAAAAAAAGGCCTAGATAGGTGAAACTTTATGAAGATGTGTAGGGCAATAATGTAACTTGGTGAATGGAAATAGGACTTTTATATAGTGGAAAGTGGTTACCCGGGGTAGGTATCATTTACTCAGCAAAAACAATGCAAAGAGATGATATTTTGGTAGTATGTGTAGAAGACAAAGTCAAGTAACATCACCACAGGCCCGAAATTTATTCATACCAGCTAGTACCAGGTTTTATAATATGTTTTGTGATAAATAATTGTTGAGCATTTATTCGCTAGAGCCACATTTATGTTAATTATGTTTGTGATGCTCTTATTTATTTGATGTGTTTATAATAAGCTGAGACCTTGAGCTAATGTTATCCAAATGGGATAATGCAGTGTATAATAATATTAATAGGTAATATGTTGATAAGATAATAGTGTTATCTTATCTTACTTTCACAATCTCATTAAAATCAGACCTCAGTTCTTGCTACTGCTAAACGAAGATCTGAGGACATCCCATTAGGGGTCACGTCAGAACGACCTTTCATCCGACCAATGAGAGCATCGCTTACCAGATTATGAAAGTGACAGTTGGAATGTGATTTCTAATCATGCAACCTCGAAAACTTTAACTGCAAACGATAGTTACGGTTTTAACGACTGAATCCATACAATCTAGACCATCTATAAGCCATTCCAGAATGTTCTTTTGTTCAGGTTTCAAATTTGTAATCGAGAATTTGTCAAAATATGTTTCGAAGTGTAGTCTCCAATTTGAAATTAGTGCCGAAAAGCATGAGAAAGCTGCCTTCTGATTGGTCATTCCATTGGTCGGTCAAAGTTCGCCAAGGGCGGTCTGACATGACCTGTAATGGGATCTTCTCAGATCTTTGTTAAGCGGTAGCGAGAACTAAGATCTGATTTTATTGAGATTGCTTACTTTCATTACTTGCTTGGTTTGAATGCAGTATGACAAATTATGATATTTAAAGGATATATTTCTGAATTATCTGCCTTTGTTCACTGGTCAAATTAAAGAACATTGGAATTTTTCCTGACAGAAAGTCAAGTCAGCACATGAAATGGGATGTTAATTCCTGTCATCCGTCCATCTGATTGTCTGTCCATTATTAACTTTTGCATTTTTGACACTCACTATTTTCTTGTGTGTGCTAGAGGAAGCATTTATATTTTTGGTTTGAGTTTTTCTTTAGCACGCCTTTGATTGTAGTCATACTGTTGTCTTTGTCTTCAGTTATTGTTTATGTTGCTATTTACTAGTGATTCTTCTTTGAAGAAGTTCTTGTTTATTGTTTGAGTAAAATTCACGTAAGTATTTAGAAGGGTGATGTATTGTTAGACCAGTATAGGTGTGGCCTTAATGGCCGCTCATGGGAGTCCAGGAACCTTCCCCTAACCAAAAGGCAATGAGGGGTACAGACTGAAGTGGGGTCAAGCATTTCAGACCAGAGAGACCCAGAAGAAGGGAATCAACTTTTATGCCATGTCCGCGACAAGCTCCATGACAGACACAGAAGCATTCCCCAGCCAAATGGTCACAAGAGGAACTGATTGAAGCAGGATCAAGCATCATTGAAGTGAGAAGTGCAGAAGTTATTACCTCCACGGTACTGGCACTGGCAGGGGATGGGTTTGCAATAGACCTATAACTGTGGGTCCCATTGAAGATTTTCCCCAGATTAGCATTTGTCAGTCGACTTCGCGACCCGCACAGGTCGGGAGAAGAGATTTTAAAGCATTCAACTGGACCTGAAAGGTCACTGTATGGATGCGGTGGAAGTGAGGAGGAAGAAGGCAATCCAAGAAGTGTCCAGTATTCAGAACAGTTACCAGCAGTTTTCACACATCCAGCCAAGCCAATCGGGTACCTTGTGCGAATGAAGCCAATATTTCCCCATGTGAGGAATTGGCCTGCACCTTAAGATCATGAACCACACAGGGACCAGCCAGACTACAAAGCGTTGTTAGATCACAGTTACAACCATGGTTACCACCAGAGACTAATGTCTTACTTATGGATACAGAATCTGGCAATGGGAAAAACAATTTTCTTTCCAACATTTGATTATGAACCGGGTCATTCTTTGGCAGAGCTTACTTGAGCAGATCTACTACCTTATGACGGATCTAGGACCTATAGTGTAGAATGCCATGCTGCCTCGATATCAATACACATATATGCCCTACTCTTCCTTGGTCCAGATACACTTCAGTAGTTACCAACCAGGCACCTGAGGTCTTCAAGTATCAACAGTGGAGATAGTGAACCTCTTCCCCCAGTGATGTTGCAGAGGGGTTTAGTGCAGTAGATGGAACATTCCACAAACACATTCTGCGGGTTGTGAGGTATTCATTTCTGTCCTTGACACTCATATGGCGATGATATACGGACAAGATTTTCACCCCTGTGGGTGACACCGGGGTGTGTCTGTCCCTACCCACAGCAGCGGCATGCATGTATAGTGAGACTTTGGCACTATGGTTTTCCTTGTCCTTAGTCGTGCAGAGTTAGTAGCAGTGTAAGTTTCAGTGTATTAGAGGTGGAAAAGAAAGGTAAAGTTGCATAAGGCCAAGCTGACTGGCCAAGGCTATTGTATTAAACAATGGATGGGTCAAGAAACAATAGAAAAAAGAATGGAATTACCTGTCCACCCTTAAACTGAAATACCTAGGACCTAAAAGAGAAAAACTGAAAACTAGCCAAGTGGATGATACTTGACCATCGACAACTAATGGTCAATCAACCTGAAATGGACCCAAAGTTAAAATATAAAAAAATGAAATAAACATATAGACGCGTCTTGCCTGAGGCGGCCCAGGGACAGCAGAGTCCACGGGCTCCAGGGAGTGTTCTAGTTCGAATCCCACTGCTGACTCATGGCCCTTTGCGTTGTGTTTTATTTGATGTTAACTGTCTGTTTTAACCGTGAGTCAGCTAACTGGGGACACTCCTGTGAGACTCTGTAGTAGGTATAATGCATCCGGCGGGTGAAAAAGGACAAAAAGACCAGTTGAAAATCTAATGAATTTTTAATACAACAAAAGTAAACTGATTAACAAAATATAAAAGTAAGAAATCCAACAATCTATTCCTACCCTAAACCTACTTAAACCTAACCCTACTTCTCCCCGACGGAAACCCCCTTACACAAACTATATAAATCAATCTACCTACATCCTCATTTCTTCCCCACCCAGCTACATCAAACCTATTCTTAACTAGTGAGACGTCTTCTTAAACAAGAGAATGTAACTAACTGTCCCCGCACCCAAGTGGACTTGTGTGTCGGGGAATCCCGACCTCTTAAGACACTGAATGCTGCAGTACCAGGTCCTTATATACCACTAGGCTGACCCTTGACCCGATTAGGGAAAACTCCTGTCGTACAGCTGTTGGCTCCGCGCATCATAGCTCGTGGCGGAACATACAACATGCGGCTCGAGCACTCAAGTAGGAAAACACCCACCCCAAAACGACCAAAAGGAAACAGTTTATGGCCAAAACATGAGTAATAAGAGAGATAATTGACTACAAGATACTTACAACGTCCAGAGGTACTTATATCGAATTTATAGGATATTTCTTATAGGTTCTAAAAATAGCCACCCGATGTCCCTTACTTATGTTAAATTACGTGGTCTCCTACAAATATATACAACTGCCTGCCACAGTTGGACACCAGTTGGGATACCACTAGATGCTGCCTACTGAACATTGTCAGATGGATAATCATGTACCACCTGGGATCTAGTTGGCACATGATTGCCAACTGAGACACTGTCACCAGCTAGGACACAGATCAGGGGTCAGATCTACTAACTCATCTGCCTGACACAGTCGAAAGAATGAAGTGAAGCAAGATTCCAGTTCATCACCAATGGATTCTCCTTTTTTGTGGTTAATAGAAGAAATTCACCATCTTATGTTGGGTTTCAAGTCGAAGGTGAAGGAAGAAGTTATGCTACTGTAGTGGACATACAATTCCTGAGTACCAAGATTTTAGACCACATGTTTCCTTATCTGAGGTCAGATGCCTTGTACGCACCCAGCTACACGACAAATGTTGGCATAAACAGGTGGCCATGGACCAGTTTTCCACCTTGACACAAAGGAACTTCACTCTACTGTCATAGCAACTGATTTGGAAAAACTTTGTCTGAATGAACATTTAATTGTAAAGGCTTATTACCCTGTAGTCATGACATGTATAAATCTAGAATCACTTAATTGATGTTGAAAAGAAGACGAAGAAGTCCTCGGCAGTTATTCAGAGCATTTAATGGCAGTTAGTTCATCATCATAGGCAAGGCATGGCAGTTTGTCAACACACGCACACGGACTGCACGTGGACACATAAAAAAGTATGAACCGGGTGCATACAACTGT